ACATTGCCAATGTGTTCTTCTCCATTCCTTTAGCAGCCAGTTGCAGGCCACAGTTTGCTTTCACCTGGTTCCAGGTGTGCAGTACATCTGGAACCGACTGTCCCACAGGTGGAAACACAGCCCCATCATTTGCCATGGACTGATCCAGGATGCTCTGGAAAAGGGTGAAACTCCAGGACACTTGCAGTATGTTGATGACATCATCATATGGCAGAACATGGCACAGGAAGTTATTGAGAAAAGGAAGAAAATAATCCACATCCTTCTGAAGGCTACTTTTGTCATAAAGCAAAGTAAGGTCAAGGGACCTGACAGGAAATTCAGTTTTTAGGAATAAAATGGCAAGATAGACATCAACAAATTCCAATGGATGTGGTCGGCAAAGGAGCAGCTATGTCCCCACCAACCAGCAAAAAGGAAATACAGGCTTTCATAGGTGCTGTGGGGTTTTGGAGGAGGATATTCTAAATTACAGTCAGATTGTAAGCCCTCTGTGTCATGTGACCCAGAACAAGAATGATTTTAAGTGGGGTCCTGAACAACAACAAGCTTTTGAACAAATTAAACAAGAGACTGTTCATACAGTAGCCCTTGGGTCAGTTAGGACAGGACAAGATGTAAAAAATATGCTCTACACTGCAACCAGAGAGAATGGTCCCTCCTGGAGTCTCCAGCAAAAAGCACCAGGAGAGACTCAAGGACAATCCCTGGGGTTCTGGAGTCAGGAATACAAAGGATCTCAGGTCTCTTACACCCCAACTGAAAAGGAGATCCTGGCAGTTTAGTAATGGGTTCAAAGACACTTCAGAAGTGACTGGCACCAAAGCAGAGCTCCTCCTGGCACCCCAACTTCCAATGCTGGGCTGCATGATCAGAGGGAAACTCCCTTCCACACATCATGCCACTGATGTTACATGGAGTAAGTGGGTTGTGCTCAAACAGGAAACCCCAATTGCCCAGAGATCTTGAAAGTCATCATGAACTGGCGTGAGGGGAAAAATTTCAGGCTATCATCATCAGAGAAGGGGAAGGTGACATGTGCTGAGGAGGTCTCACCGTAAAATCAACTACCTGAAAATGAAAGGTGACACGGTCTCTTCACTCACGGTTCCTGCTGTATTTTAGGGATACATTGAAAGGGAAAGCAGCTCTACAGAGTCCTATGTGGCGAGTCACAGAAGCCACCGAGGGACATGAGGGACAAAGTGGATCAAGTCAGTCAGGCTGCAGAGCTGAAAGCCATCCAGATGGCTTTGGATATGGCTGAAAGAGAGAAATGGCCAACACTCTACTTCTACACTGACTTGTGGATGGTAGCAAATGCTCTGTGGGTGAGGCTGGACCGATGGAAAAAGCCTGACTGGCAGCGCAGAGGAAAACCCGTCTGGGCTGCTGAATTGTGGCGAGGCATCACTGCCCGGGTTATTCTGTACCACCTCATGCCATGTGAAGGGGGTATGAAGGAGGGTGGAGATTTTTCTGTGGTGTATGGAGTACACGGTCAGGTGGCACTGCATTCTGGTGGTGAGCAACTGTGTGTAAATCATTTGCCCATCTTGTACACTCTGGCTTTATTATTGTTTTTGCTACTGACCATTTTCCTATTTCATTGCTGTTTCTAGTAAACTGTTATTATCTCACCTGTTATTATCCTTACCTTTTTGTGCCTCCAATTCTCCTCTCCATCCCACCACAGAGGGAGCGGGGGGAAGGTGAGCGAGTAGTGTGTGGTCTGGGCTGTTTCAGTGGGAACACTGAACTGGGGAATACCATTCCTAAACCACAACATCTCAGAACCTAGAAATGGAGTTGATCTTCATACTGACTCTCAGCCATTTAAATGGCAGCACAGGTTGTAAGGTTTACTTCAAGAGGAGACAGTCCATCGCAACTGAGAGTGGTACAACTATGCTGTTCCATGAGCACAATCAAATGGTAATTTCCTACTTTTACAAGAAAAGTCAATATAGCAATTGCAGAAAGTTTGGGAACAATGTGAATTTGGCTACCACCAGCAGCCAGACAGGCTTTCAGTCTGTTATGGTGAGTGAGTTTTCCTTCTTGCACATGTCTGCACTGTGCTAAGAATAAGGGCTGCCAGGATTGCTAAATCCTGACACCAGACCAGGATGTCGCCCTTTGACAGTGCCACAAAACACCTTGAGTTGGAGCAAAAAATCAGACCTTTACTTCACTAGACTGGATTTTGGATGACACCACAGGAGGGACTCTCAGTTAGGACGCAGGTGGCCAAACAGCCTTTCCCCTCCAGGACACACATTAAAGCCTCACTGGGGTCACTAATGATCAACCACCCTGGCTTTGCTGCACTTGTAAGCATATTTTTCATTTCACTGGTTTGCTCTCTGCAGGACTAGGTCACTGGGCTGCCTCCGAGTTGTCTGGGTGGTCCTCCCACCAGAAGCTTTAGTGTCTGGGGCTTGTTGTCCATGTCAGGAGTAATTTGCTGCTATCCTGGATCCAGCTCAGTGGAGGGAAAATGGATTTTGTGTTGAACAAGGTCCTAACTTTCTTGAGGTGAAGGGTCTTTCCCTGCCAACACTGCTCTTGTAACTGCTGCTGTTCTAAATTTTGTAGAACTGGTAACTTAAATTCAGGAAGTGTCCTAGTCCTGGATGTCACCCCTGAATTCAAAAGATATCTTTTTTTATAGAAGAGGCATATCTTTGCATCCAAGGCTTTCACTTCTGAACACAACAAAGCAAAATTCATGCTTGTCTGGGAGTGCAATCACCCATGACTGCACACGTCCATACTGCTTATTTTCAGTGATGTGTGTTGCATCTTTCCCTGGAGCTCCACACAAACTGATCTTTCAGGGGACTCTAGGATGCCAAGGTTTTCCTTCCGAGTCAGTCAGGAAATGCTCTGGCTAAAAAGAGTGATGGTAATCACTTTCTAGGTATGAAAAATCCTAATAAACATTTTTTGAAAGTTTGTTATTTAGCCTGTTTTTTTTCTGCTTCAATATTCAATTATTTCCGATTGGAAAAGGGAGTTTGATGTACTGAGAGGTGACAGAAATGCTCATGAGTTGGCTCTGCAGGAGCTCACACTTCTGGGAAAGGAAGGCAATGTGGTTCTCCACACTGCAAGATTTACAACTGCCCTGCAAAGCTCATGAATGCAGGTGGACTTCCTAGCTGAATATTGGGTGAGGTTTGACAGCATTAAGCCATTTTCTACCAATCTACCAGAAAACGGATCCAAATTTACTGTTATATCCTATTTCTCATCACACTGTCTTGAAAAACGAGCACATACAGTTTTGGACCCTACCTTAAAATGTGTTAATAATGAAAAGCCAGGAGATGCACATGTACCTAACTCATCATTCGAAATCAATACTGCAAGTAACATTTATAAACAGAAAAAATAGAGCTGAGTGCACTCTGCATCCCAGGAACTGCAAAAACTATTGTCATGATGGGCAAGGAGGAGTAATTTGGTTCACTGGTTTTCCCTATGGAGAGACTATTAGCAGCTGTCAGTTTTCTATTGCTGCCAGTCATTCATTTCTCCTTCACATTTCTCCCAAAAGGAAGTGCAAGGCTAGTTGTTGGTAATGCAGAGGAACACTTCAAAATCACTGTTTCTCAGTTTTTAAAAGCCACTGTCTGATCTAACTGTACACCTACAACATACAGTAGAGAAGAAAGCAGGCAGTCAAATGGCCCTGATTGGAATTTTTACAAGTGTTTTACAGTGCTGTATTTAACCAGACCAATTGCTGTATCCCTTAGCTGGATGTAGTGGATTCCTCTCCTTTCTGCCTTTGTCCATCAAGCCACAGGCACATAAGAGCTTTAATTGAACATGGAAGCTGCTTGGAAATTTGAACCTTCTGTTCTCAGATGAAGAGCTTCCCATCCCTTCAACGCTGCCATCACGAACATTGACAGTGTGGGAAAACTTGATGTCTTTGCAGGAATTCAGTTCTTTGAAGGGACAGCTTGATGGACACTCACAGAAGACAATGGATTCATGGAACCTTAGAACCATAGAATGGTTTCGGTTGGAAGGGACCTTAAAGTTCCAACCCCCTTGCCATGGGCAGGGACACCTCTTCCTAGATCAGGTTGCTCAAATCCCCATCCAGCCTGGCCTTGAAATATTAAAAAATTATAATAGTCAGTGTCATTAAATACATATCATGCAAACATTTATCATTATAATGGTCTTGGTTATGAACACTGAAAAATAATAAATCAAGAGCTTTGGATTCACATCTGCAATTGGAGATTTTCCACACAGGCTTTACTTTACCATTTTCCTCTGCAGTTAGTGTCTGAGACAGCTCAGCTGTAATTCCAACTTATCCCCGTGCCCAGAGTTGCTTTTGCCACAGATCTGATGGGTCTCCCTTCAACCATCTCTTTCTCGGCGCCAGGACCTTTTGGCAGCACCCGGGCCAGAACCAAAGGGGCTTTGCACTGCCAGTATCATTCTCCTTTACGAGGGATTCCATGGCTATCCTACTCCTCAAAGACACTTAAACTTAAAGCTGAAGCAGCAGCAAACCCTACCAGAACCATCACCTCCACTTGAAATTAATTTGTTCCACTGCAGGCTAGATAACATTAATATTAATAATTAATTTCCCTGGTGAGAAGACTTCTTTCAGTGACAATTGTTCTCAGCTTGCAGAGGCAGTAGTAAGAATCTGGATTTTACATGTAAATTATTTGTTAATGGGGTAATGAAAACCAAACATCACAGCAATTCAATTCATAGATATGACTCACAAGATCTTTACAATTCCTTCAAATATAGATAATTCTTCAGAGACTTAATGTGGGAAAAGGTTTCTGCAGACCAAGTAATGCCATCAGATGGTGACTGAAGCATTAAATCATCTCAGTCAAACAGACACAATAAATCTAAAAAGAATCAAAATCAACACATCACTGATAAGGTACAAACCATCAATTACAAGAATTCCTAATTTGCTGCACAAATCAAGGAGATGATTTGCTCACCTCTCTGGTGAAAAACAATTACCAGATGATTTTTTCATGAGGTCTGATTCCTGCAGCTCACTTGCTCTACCTGTCAGCTGCACCACCTTCTTGTACATTTGATTGCACAACAGTTTCTGAGAAAAGAGGGAATCCCCTATCAAATTCCTCTTTAGGACAGCTTTCAACCATAACAGTAACACCATGGTTTGCTTCCAGAGAGTCAACAGCTCCTCCCATTTTTGTGTCGACTGCAAACTTGCTCAGTATGGGGTTGGTGATTGCCCAGCCCTCTCATTTGTCCAGGTCTCTCTGCAGGACCTCCCTGCCCTCCAGGGAGTCGACAGCTCCTCCCAGTTTTGTGTCGTCTGCACACTTGCTTAGTATCCCTTCCAGCCCTGCGTCCAAGTCAATTATGAAGGTGTGGAAGAGCGCTGGGCCCAAGAAGTTGTCCTGTGGAA